TTTGGAAGGGCCCCCGAGAGCAGTTTGACGGCGAGGGTGCTCAGGGCATAGAGTCCAGGCTTCCCTGCACCTCTGCTCTCTGGCTTCATTCGCCAAGTTCGGTCTTACTGCCTATTTTAATTCAGCGTCCCTGTTGTCATCAGGCAGTGCGTGCTGCTAAGGGACTCCTGGCCGTGTGCCTGACCACGGCCTCCAGGGCAGCTCTCCTTGTGTGTGCTGGCTGACGGACATGTTTTCTGTCCTCTCTAGACAGAAAGTCCCACCACATCAGTGAACCCTGGCAGCAGTTGTAACCTAACTCTATTCCCCCTCCACCGTCTCTGGAGAACCTCATCTCTTCTTTTCAAAATGGCCTGAAAGTAGAGCGAATGGCTTAGTTTTAAGACTTTGTCACAGAAACATCTCCATCTCCCAAATTGTTTGCCTGTGCAAGTTTCTTAATGCTCTAAGGCGTTACCCTCAAAGGTGAAAGAGAAACATTAATAAAAATGAATATCGGGGCCAGCTCCGTGGCCAAGTGGTTAAGTTCGCCGGCTCTGCTGCGGCGGCCCAGGGTTCGGATCCTGGGCACGGACATGGCACCACTCGTCAGGCCACGTTGAGGCGGCATCCCACATCCCACAACTAGAAGGACGTGCAACTAAGATATACAACTATGCCCCGAGGGGTTTGGGAAATAAAGCAGAAAAAAAAAAAAAAAAGATTGGCAACAGTTGTTAGCCCAGGTGCCAATCTTTGGGGAAAAAAATAAGGGAGATTGGCAACAGTTGTTAGCCCAGGTGCCAATCTTTAAAAAAAGAAAAATGAATATCTGTTGAATGCCATTCTGTGCCAGGTTCTGTGCTAAGCACTTTCCAAGGACTGTGGGACGATTTCTCTGGAAAACACCTGGAGGCAGGTCTCAGGTCGCTCGGCTAGTTGAGAGGCAGAGCTAGGATTCTTCCTGGCAGTCTGACTGAGTCCGTGCTCTGCCCACTGCGGCCTGCTGCCCCAGCAGTGCCACCTGAGAGGAGTTGCAGTGGGGATTGGATGAGGTCATGTCTAGAAAGTGCTTAGCAGACCTGGTACGAACATGCATTCGACGCTGAGATCTCTACTATTTGACAGGAATTCAGTCCCTAAGAGGGCTCTGGAGAGTTGTGAAGGGGAGGGGCTAAGGGAACATGAAAGGGGAGTGGCTCTGGGTGGGTGGGCGTCATCGCCTGGAGGCCAGCGGTGCTCACATATAGGGGTGTAGGCATGTGGCAAAGTGCCCATGCAAGCCAGCGTGATACCAAAGCACAGGCCCTGCACCTACGTGCAGAGGACCCATCCCAAACTCTCCTCAGCCCTTCAGAACATCAGAGGGCTCTCCTTTGCCTTCCTTTTTCTTTTCTTTCTTTCTCTTTTTTTGCTGAGGAAGATTTGCCCTGAACCAAAACATCATGCCAATCTTTCTCTAATTTGTATGTGAGTTGCCACCATAGCATGGCCACCAACAGGTGCAGGTCCACACCCAAGGACCAAACCCAGTCTGCCAAAGTGGAGTGCGCCGCACTTAACCACTAGGCCATGAGGCCAGCCCCTGCCTTCCTTTTTCAAAAGCCGAGTCAGAGATCCACCCCCACTCCCTGTGGCCTAACCAGCACTTAATTTGCATTTTCTTTCACTCTTGGTTTAGAACTTTTGTTTGTTGTTTGTTCTTATTTAATATACCTATGCCAATCCAATTCCTTTTGGAAATCGACAAATGATAAAAATGTTGTCAGGTGGGTGGGATTGAAGTTGGGGGCACAGCTGCCACAGCAATACCATCCGTGTGTTTAGATGGAGGCAGCCACAGCCTGCAGTCCATTCGCCACACACCCACTACCGACAGTTCTTAGGCTCTCGAATGTAAGACCTGAAACCATAAAAGGAAATATAGGATCTTGAGGGTGCCACAGGTTTTCTCTTTTCTTCTCTAGCCATGTTTTGCTGTTCAGCCAAAGCCTCAAATACACTTCAGCTCCTCCTCAGGCTCTCGAAGAGGCCACTGTGATATTTCCAGCATTCAAAGTGGGCATTTTGTGGGGGCTGGCCGCGTGACATAGCGGTTAAGTTCACATGCTCCACTTCGGGGGCCCAGAGTTCACAGGTTCAGACCCTGGGCGTGGACCTAGCACCATTCATCAAGCCACGCTGTGGTGGCATCCCACATAAAATAGAGGAAGATTGGCGCAGATGTTAGCTCCAGGACAATCTTCCTTACAAATAAAAAAGTGGACGTTTTGTGAATGTTAAACGAGATTTGAAGAATGCGGTGGGTCAAACAAGCACTATGCTCTGTAAGGTGAGTCACGGGGATCCTGCTGTGGCCATCAGAACGAGGCAGAAGGGCCAGGCTGTGTTCTTGGATGGCCTTGAGCTTGGGTCACCTCAACATATGTCTGTTGGAGCAGAGGTGGCGGTGACCATCTATTCCGGGTCTGTGGTTGCATGTTTTGGTCATAGCAGCATCCCAGGATTGCTGTGGGATATGTATGAGCTGTTTGACTTAGTGTTTCCATTGCCATTTCCTCATGTTCCGAGATACTCTCAAGTTTAATTGAATTCTAACTTCTCTTGAATACAGAGTATTTTTTCATTTGATCCTCTGCTCAGCCAGAAACACAATAAATTTGTTTTTTTGCTATAAGAGAGGCAAATTCCGTCATAGAGTAATTACTATTCACAAAGTAAGGTGGATGTCTGACTGCTTTTCTTCAGGAAATGATGAAAACGTAGAAATGACAGAGCCAAGGCCCAGAGGTGTGCCTTGCCCAGCTTCAGGGGATGGGACTGCATGAGATGCAAACAGACACGTGTTTATGTGTTTGCACATTGAGCACATGCTTACAATAAACAAAAACAAGCTGTACTTTCTACCTCAAAAGAGAACCTCACACACTGTTTTTACTGTTGCGGTTACTTTCAGCAATGCCAGCCTCGTGTGGTGACCGAGTCACGCAGCTGATTTGCAGCTGAGCTGAGATCCCTCGCTTTGGGGCATGTTGAGGTTTCTTGTTCTGGTTGACAGTGACCTTCAAATGTATTGCCCGTATAAAAAGGAAACTTCTGTGTCACCCTTGACATGACTTCCATCCATCAACAAGGGGGTCGTTAATAATGACTGTGCGTGTCCTTCCCCTCCCTCTTACCACCCACTGACAGGACCACCCATACTTGGAACACCCAGTGCTTGCAGGGCAGTCCTTGAGATTAAACCAAATGGCAGTTGGCAGTTTACCCCAAAAGAGGGGTAAGGGATGGAGGCAAGAAACTGTCCTGCTTCTCCGGTCTTTTTCATCAGAAAGGCATTTGTGCCTTTTGGTAGGAAAATAGTCTTGGGGAAGGTGTCCCAGCCCAGCCCACAAACTGGTGGTATACTCTGTGCCGTCACTGTGCTAGTCACTGGGGACTCAAGGACAAAGGAAACATAGTCCTCTTCCTAGGTTCTTCCCAAACAATGGTCTAATAAATCACCGCGATGCCTCTTCTCTCTGAAGCCAAGCGTAGAAGTTGGTGAGGTCAAGGGAAATGAATGACATGCCAGACAGACGCAAAGAGCAGTTGGGGCTGCAGCTCTGCAGGCTGCTGGTGTTTTGTGTGTTTGCTTGTGGTTTAAATGATAAAAGAATGATGCTTCTCACTGCGGGTAGAATAGCCACAGCCGGTGAAGAAACAGATTTGGTGTCCTAACGGTTATTGCTTAAATGGTACATCAAAAATAGCTTAGAAATTTTCTAATTTGTGGTCTCTAGAACAAATGCAAGAGTTTTTCTACTACACAAACTAGGGGGGCAAATTTATTTCCTAGACTCATGGAATCAAAGGCAGGATTGGACCTTACAGCTCGCCCAGCCTAACCCTTCATTGTACAAATAGGGAAATGGGACTGGGGGCAGGGTCGTTAAATGACTTGACCTCAACACACAGCCAATTGGGAAAGAACTGGGTCTACCCCCTGCCCCTGCAGAGCTTCACCCCAAGTTTATCCCAAAAGTCACTGAAATTACTTATAAGAATATTCAGAGGAATATGCTGATGATAGACCTGTAACTGACTTTTAAAGGAAACTAGGCACAATTTAGGGGGCAATCTTTGGAAGGTGACTTCAGGGAGCACAGTGAGGCCTTTTGGGTACATGGGCTCCGTGGCCTTCAGACTGATCCTGAAGCCCCAGGGTGCATCAGAAATGGACTCTCCCACCCGTGACAGAACAGCTCTGCATGCGTTTGTGTGATAGAGTGCGCTTCTGAGTGAGAATTCTTTTGAAATAAATTAATCTGAAAACTACTATTCTGCAAAGAAACAATTCAGCAATCCTGATAAGAATGTGATTTTATCATCATCAGAAGTAATAGGGTTGGAAGTTTTGTTCTTTTCTTTTAACTTTTATGGACCCAAAAGTGTGCTACCCCACTGCCTCTGTCTTGATGAATCTGAGGGACCCGGGGGACGCTGGGGAGTTGTCTTCACAGAATCTTTCCAGAAAGTTCCCTCCTGTTTAGTTTTCCACATCTAGAAAGATCTCCAAGCAGAGGTGTTCTCCAGAGCTTTGGCGGGTGGAAGACCTGAGCAGCTGTTGCTCACGACTGGACTTGACTGTTTTCTAGCTCTCAGCAGAGCTCTCCTTGCTGTCTCATTCTGTTTACCCTGAAGGGTAATGGAGACATCGCACAGCCCCTGTCACTGGAAGACACTGAACAATAGTCATGGAATTAAAACTTCACAGGGAAAAGCACCTATTTGATTCTGTTTGTTTAAAACCTCATGTTCTTGAAGCAGCCCCTCTTATCCTATGGCTATTGTGAGGGTTCGTTTTCATGACGTGGCAGTTTATTTCCAAAGTGCATCAGAGGAAAAGGGTTTAAAAGGAAAATTTTTTTAAATTAAGAAATCAAAGCCTTATTACTGAAACTTTGCTCTAATAAAGATATTTTGGTGTTAAATTATTTTGTATTTGCTAAGTATCCGTACCTCTTTGTTCCTTCTTTCAGAATGCTAGAAGATGACCTTAAGCTAAGTAGTGATGAAGAAGAGAACGAACAGGTAAGATTTTCTTTCACTTTGGCATTCTTTGAATGTGACACTCTGTCACTGACCTGGTAGACTGTCCTAAGTGTTAACTGAGTCGTACAGATGCTGAATGGTGGTGCCCTAGGAAGCTGGGTGTCCTCACTAATTACAAGATTCTGTGCCATTGGGCCAATCTATTAAAATATCTTGGCCTTAGTTTCCCTTCAAACTGGAATTCTGTGATTTTTGTTGCATTGAAACCAACACCTATTTATGGGGAAGCTGACTGGGCTCAGGCTTCAGTGTGAAATAGAGCCTTTTTGTTTTTGGGAAAACTAACTGGCCTGGACACCAAACGTGTGATCTTAACCTCATCAGCATGCAACAGGAAAGCTGTAGCATTAAATATTGAAAAGTCTTATACAGACGTTATTAACATTGAGAAGAGGCAAATGTAGAGGTGAGCTGAAATGATGAATAAAAAATATCATGCTCAGAATAGGCTGTTTGTCTTAAATGATAAATGTGCTTGAAATGTTCTCTTCTGGTGTTGATTTATCAGCTCGAGACATCAGTCAGGGTTTATAAATACTCTTCTGATCAGTCACTTAAGGTGAAAAAATATCCACTTACCATTCATCACTTTCACTTCTGCATTTCAGGAAATGTTTGTATTTTAAAGCAAGTTTGAAAACACTCAAGACAGATTTTTCCTACACTTCTGTTCCCTTTTTCTCATTACCTGTATTGTATTTTGTCAAGTTTGGATAACTCTGATAGGCATAAAGATAATTCAGAGAGGTGTTTTTATAAGTCATTTTTTCATGCAATACAAGACACTTGTACCATTCAGTTGACCTTGAAATAGTGAATTTTATATGAAGGTATCACGGAGTGCTGGGCAGGTGATGCTGCTGTCTAGACATGCAGATGCAAATAATGCAAGAGAGTGTGCAGAGGTGAAAGAAAAGTCAAAGGACATTTCCAGGAAAAGCGTTTGAGCAGAATGTGGCTGTGAGGTCACAGAAGAGTTTGCTCACCTTGTGAGAGAAGGTGAGGCACCAACAAAGGGACCGGGCACGAGGTAGAACCTGACGAATCTGGAAACTGGATTGGCCAATGAAGAAAACCCCAAGGGAAGGAAGGTGCCTGTGCTAGGAGGGCCAGCCAGGCTTCAAGCTTCTTCGAGACTGATTAATTTGTTTCTAGGTGCACACACAGGGGCAGTCAAATATCTATAACCCAACAAGCTTGGCAGAGCTGGAGACCTACTTCACTCCTAATTTTGCTTCCTCCTCCATGTGACTATAAGCAAATGCTTTCATCTCTTTGTGTTTTTTCCCAGTGAGAGGTTCAGATAGGAATAGTGTGGATTAAGTCACACCAAACATAAAAATTGGGTATACTTTATGTTAGAGAAAGGATTCACAGACTATTTCATTCAACAAGACTTTCTCAATCTGAAGAGGATTTTCCTCAGTCGCTTCCACTGAAAACTCAATTTAAAAAAATTTATTTATCAAGGATGTGCTGGACACATTCTCTAAGGCAGTAAGAACTTTTAGTTGACTCGTTTTGCTTTACCAGCTACTTCTTTTCAATCTGTAGACACTGATAATATTGTAATGTGAGTATATGGGCCAGATCCTGTATCCTTGCATTTGGTCTCTATGTGGGTCCAACTTCCTATCTTTTGCAATGAAAGGAACGACAGAATGAACGATTTTTATACCATAATCCTCTCTTTTAATTAAGACTCCAGACAGTGGTTTTGTATGTGGTAGTTGAAAGGATTGCTCTAACACTAATTATATTAAGCTATCCTGCTTTGGCCTATAATTATACCCCTGGCCTAATCACAAAATGATAATTCCCATGCTTTTAAAAAAGACTAATGATATGGTATTTTTTTTTCTCTCCAAGATCAAAATGTGATTGTGCCCCAAAAGAGTGGAGCCTGTGCACACATGCAACACACATATACACACTGCATTTTTTTGGCACTGGAGATAATTAATCATTTAACATAAATGATTTTTTCAGGTATAACCAGAGTTTGTCCCTTAAATCTTTCAGATATGTACTGTCCATTTGCCTGCCTCAGTAAACATAGTATACTAAAATCCTTAACATTTTCTCATGTGACAACTGGTTGTCCCTGTGAATATTGGTCACCAGCCTGTATAGCCACTGGAATGAGTAGACGTCCGTACAACTTCCAGGTTGCCCCACCTGTTTGCCCTTCCTGAAGTGGCCTCGGACTCTCATGCGTTTGAGTATTCCTGTCTGCTGTTTCCTTTATCCTCATTGCCTTTGTGTGCTCAAAGATACAGAGACGGCCAGTTGAGTGAGTCAGCACGCGCTCGGCTTGAACCCAGGACGGTCAAATCCCTGCTCTCCCACTCAGTAGCTTTGCAGCCTTGGTGCAGTCCCTGCACAGCTCTCTGCTCCAATGTTGTCATTTGTAAAACTGGAATTAATGTTAGATCCCCGAAGCCTGACACTTCCTCAGAACTTGTGCTCACCAGTTGGCTTCGTGTCACCAGATCCAATAGGCTTTTTTTTATTTTTTGCTTTCTTAGTCAACTTATAATTGAATCCACCATACATAGAGAAAAGTACATAAATTAGAATACAACTTGATGAATATACCACACACACCCATGTAACCAGCACCCAGATCGAGATAGAGATGTGACCAGGCTCTCAGGTCTCCCGCATCCCCTTCCAGTCATCATCCTCCAGGAGAATGATCGCTCTCCTGCTTTCTGACACCGTGGAGTAATTTTGATTGTTTTTTAACTTTCTATCAATGGAATCATACAGCATGCACCCTGTGGTTTCTGGCTTCTTTCACTCAGCATTGTGTTGGTGAGATTGAACCAGGTTGTTGCATGTAACTGAAATTTGTTCATTTTCGTTGCTGGATCATATTTCATGATGTGCATGTACCATAATTTTGTTACCCATTCTCTCTGGTGACGAGCACAAAGGTGTTTGGGGCTTTGAGCGTAGTGCTGTTGTTAACGTTCTCGTGCAGGTCTTTTGATGAGCCTACGGGAACATTTCTTTTGGGTCTCTGCCCAAGAGTAGAGATGGTGGGCCCTAGGGTACCTGTGTGTTCAACGTGAGTAGATTATCCCAAACCATTTTCCAAAATGGTCATACCACTTGACACTCCGACAGGCAATGGAAGAGAATTCCTGTTGCTCCACATCCTTACCACGTGCTTGTCTTTTTATGTTCATGAGGGTTATTGTTCTGACGGTTTCTTTTTTTGTGTTGTCTTTGTCTGATTTTGATATAAAGGCAACACTGGCTTATAAAATGAATTGAGAAGTGCTCCCCATTCTTCTCTCCTCTTGAAGAGATTGTACAAAATTAATGTTAATTCTTCTTTAAATATTTGTCAGAATTCTCCAGTGAAACCATATGGGCCTGGAGATTTTTAAAACTTACTGATTCGGTTTTCTTAGTAGTTGAAGGGCTATTCAGATTATTTGGGTAGGCCACATTGGGTATGTTGTGGTAGTATGTGCTCTTCAAGTAAGTAGCCCATCATGTCATTTAAGTTGTCATATTTATGTGTTTAGTCTTATATTCTTTTGATGTCTCGGCCTATAGGTTTATCCCCTGTTTCATTCTTTTTTTTTTTTACCTTTTTTTTATTGAGGTTATATTGGTTTATAACATTGTGTAATTTCAGGTGTATGTTGTTATATATCAGTTTCTATATAGACTACATCGTGCTCACCACCAATAATCTAGTTTTTAATCCATCACCATGCATATGTGCCCCTTTATCCCTTTTGCCCCACCCCGACCCCCTTCCCCTCTAGTAACCACTAATCTGTTCTCCTTACCCAAGTGTTTATCTTCCACATGTGAATGCAATCAAGCAGTATTTGTCTTTCTGTGTCTGGCTAATTTTACTTAACATAATACCTCAAGGTCCATCCATGTTGTTGCAAATGGGACAATTTTATCTTTTTTTATGGCTGAGTACTATCCAATTGTATGTATATATACCACATCTTCTTTATCCATTCATCAGTTGATAGGCACTTAGGTTACTTCCTTGTCTTGCCTATTGTGAATAATGCTGCAGTGAACCTAGGGGTGTGTAAGTCTCCTTGAATTGTTGATTTAAAGTTCTTTGGATAGATACCCAGTACTGGGATCGCTGGATCATTTGGTATTTCTATTTTTATATTTTGCGGAATCTCCATACTGTTTTCATAGTGGCTGCACCAGTTTGCGTTCCCACCAGCAGTGTATGTAGGTTCCCTTTTCTCCACATCCTTTCCAACGTTTGTTGTTTTTTGTCTTGTTAATTATAGCCATTCTGACAGGTGTAAGGTGGTATCTTATTGTAGTTTTGATTTGCATTTCCCTAATAGTGATGTTGAACATCTTTTCATGTGCCTGTTGCCCATCTGTATATCTTCTTTGGAAAAATGTTCATATCCTCTGTCCATTTTTTGACCAGGTTGTTATTAGTTTTTTTGTTGTTGAGTTGTATGAGTTCTTTATATATTTTGGAAATTAACGCCTTACCAGATATGATTTGCAAATATGTTTTCCCAGTTGGTGGGTTTTCTTTTTGTTTTATTCAGGGTTTCCTTTGCCTTGCAGAAGCTTCTTAGTCTGATGTAGTCTCATTTGTTTATTTTTTCTTTTGTTTCCCTTGCCTGAGTAGACACAGTATTCGAAAAGATGCTGCTAAAACCGATATCAAAGAGTGTACTGCCTATATTTTCTAATAGGAGTTTTATGATTTCAGGTCTTACATTCAAGTATTTAATGCATTTTGAGTTAATTTTTGTGTATGAAGAAAGATAATGTCTGCTATCATTCTTTTGCACGTGGCTGTCCAGTTTTCCCAACACCATTTATTGAAGAGACTCCTTTCTCCGTTGTTTGTTCTTGGCTCCTTTGTCAAATATTAGCTGTCCATAGATGTGTGGTTTTATTTCTGGGCCTTCAGTTCTGTTCCATTGATCTGTGTGTCTATTTTTCTGCCAGTACTATGC